TAAAAAAAAACCAAAAAAAAAAAAAAAAAACAACCAAAAACCCGTCTAGAACAGCTCCACTCTGAAGCCCTGTAAACTACACAAGGCCCCAGCTCCTCTGCTCTGTCCTCAGGCAGCACCCTCCACTGACTAGATTAAGGCAAAGGGACACTGGGCACTCAGTAGCCAGTAGAAGACTTCGATTTAAATGTACAAAGACAAACCACTTCTCTTTCCTTGTAGGAGTGTTAACTTTCCCCTAAAGTCCTTTTTTGTAGTCTTAGGCACAGTCTTCCCAGGACACATGCATGGAAGTGTGTGGTGTGCCCCACTTCTCCAGGCTCCCTCACGCACCTGGCCTGCCTGATGCACATGGTCATTCTTGAGCAGACTGTCCTTCGCACAGTGACTGTTCTCCCATCACTTTCTGTTCATTTTTCTTTTTCTTTCTTTTACCTCAGATCCCCAAATAACACTTCCTTTTCCTGCCTTTTGTGCTTATTTCCCTCTACTTCTGAGATGATAGCTAGACTAATAAATCTTGAGATGTTATCAAGAAAGCAGAAGTTGGTTACGGAATCCGTGGTGGTGGCCTGAGGCCAAGCAAAGAAGAGAAACAGAGCCAGGATGAAGTGTGGCAGAGCACTAAGCTCTAGGAGATATGGTTCTACTCTGTATATAAAGACACACAAGCATTCCGTATACCAGTGAAATTAGCCTATGATAAATGTCACCAGAAATCTTTATCTGAGCCTCATATACATAAAGTAAATATGAAGATTGATGAAAACAGAAGTAACTGATCTATATGCTGGTTATTGGAGAGTTCACTTCACCAGTCATTGTGTGTTTGTGTGTGTGTGAGTGCACATGTCTGTTGTGTGATGGAATGGAGAATGTAGCTTAGCAGATCGGTATACGACACAGGGAAAAGGCTCTTTATATAGGGCTTCTTGGGTTGTGTGTGCCTGTGTCTTTGGGTTGTCACCTGAACTGTTACTAGGGGGCCTGTAACTCTTTGTGGCTCTGAATGCTAATGTTTCCATACTCCCCACAGCATCTGACCAAGGAGGCAGATGTTTTGTTGTCCATTTCTTAACCCAAGTGTTCATAAAATGGGCAACTTCTGATATAACGGCAGCCCTGCTCTAGGGAAAGGTGTTAACATGCTAATTACATATATATGCAACACACATAAATGTAAAACCATGAATAAACCTTAACTATAGAGGACTGGTCCTTAAATACAAGCATAAGCTCACTCTTACCATCCTTCCAGAGCTCAGCAACAAATCTGTCTGATGACTGGTGCAGGAGGGTGGCCACATTGTCATTCAGAGGGTCCATGTTCTTCATCAACCATTCATCGGCCTTGTAGTCCACCTATCCCAGACCAAAGCCAAGGGGGTGAAATGGAGAACACAGAATCAAACACAAAACAATGAGTATCTTAAGCCTTAATCAAGGCTTTCACCAAAAAATCCCCCAAACTGGGTTGTCTCAATGGCTAGGCAATACATATTTAAATATGTATACATGTTCCCAGGACCTTTGTTATACCATAAAATATGGCAAAAATCACATAAACCATTTCATCCCCCGCCACCGTCTCCTTCCTTTCTTTTGTTGTGTTTGGTGTATTGTATGTGTGTATGTGTGGGTGTGAGTACATGCAAGTGTGGAGGCTAGCAGTTGACTGGGTAACTTCCTCTATCATTCTCCATTGTATTCACTGAGACAGTCTCTCACTGAACCTAGAGCTCACTGTTTCAGCTAGACTGGCTGTCCAATAAACTTTGGAGAGCCACCCATCTCTGCCCCATCTCACAGCATTGGGGTTACAGGTGCATACCACCATGCCTGAATTTATGTGGATGCTGAAGATCCAAACTCAGGTCTTCATGCTTGTGCAGCAAGCATTTTACCCACTGTACCATCTCCCCAGCTCCAAACAGTTTTAATTGAGTTATTCAACATACAAACTCTTACCTTCCCTGCATAATGTATAATACAAAAGTCAGCTTTGTCTTTCAATTGCCGTGGCTTCTGAAACTTGGAGTGGGAACCTTGTTCTTGAACCAATTTTTCAACAAACGTTTTATCTGTAGCTTTAGGGAACCAGCATTCTTCATCCAGAAGGGCCAGCACACCAGGAGGATTAGCCTGATAGTGAGAGGCAGTGAGATTGACAGCCTGCTTGTCACTGGTACCACTGTGTTGACAGCTTATTTCCAAAATGACTAGTTTTATGAAGATCTACAAAAAAAGTCTACCACTACGATGGAAAGTATGTCCAAGGCATAACAAGTTTATCATTAAAATACAGATTATAACCTAATAAGTAATGGGAAGAAAATGGATTTATTGAGTAAACTCTTAATACAGGTACATTGTGATAAAACCAATTTCAAGTAGATGATTCCCCCAAAGCATAAAAGAAACTGAGGGAAAATGGAAAGAGTGGAGAGATGAAAGCAAATATTTATGTTCTGTGACTGGCTCAATATATTGTTATAAAACTTAGGGCTGGAGAGATGGCTCAGTGGTTAAGAACACTGGCTGTTCTTACATAAGACCCAGGTTCGAATCCCAGCACCCACAAGGCAGCTAACAACTGTTCATAACTCCAGTTCCAGGGGATCCGACACCCTCTTTTGTCCTCTGCGGGCATTGCAAGACATGGGTGCACTTACCTACATGCAGGCAATACACACATACACACAAAAATAATAAATATTTTTTTAAAAACTTAACTAGTTACCTCAACCACTTTATATCCTAAGCAATTTAAGTGTTTGCTTAAGTGATTATTAAACAAACTGTATCATTTCACCTTGGTAAAACATCTGAAACTATTATTAAGTAGAATATATGAGAAAATAAAATAACTCATCAGTCAGTTTATACTTTCATTTTAACAAACATTTAAGAGTTTATTTTATTTATTGTGAGTTCATTGACGAAAGGTCTCAATGAATCAAGAGAAAGTACATCAGTGGTAACAAAGGCTGGGCAAGGGAGGAGGGAGGCCTGCTAGTGGGTATGAGGACTTTTAGCAGAGTGAGGTAATGAAATGTAGAATTTGTGATGATGGTCACACAACTTTATGAATATAGTATAAAGCCACAGAATTGTAGCCTTAACAAGGTGGATTTTATGTATATGAATTATGTCTTAATTAAAAAAAATAAAAGACCTGCAGCTTATCATGTTCTTGAGACATGGTTTCCCTGTAGCCCCAGCTATCCTGGAATTCACTATGTAGACCAGGCTGGCCTCGAACTCACAAAAATCCACCTGCCTCTGCCTCCCAAGTGCTGGGATTAAAGGCATGCGCCACCATGCCCGGCCCATGACTTCCTTTTTCAAGGTAAGTGGTGCGTGAAAATGAAATACCTTGATAGCAATGGTCTACTTAGCAGTGTAACTACTAACAAGGCAAGTATGTGACACAGGAACAAGCCCACAGGAATTCTACGCCATTCCTGCAAAATTAGCCTTTTTGTATAAAACTTTAGAAATCAGTTTTCTTCAGTGATTTACTAGGAAGAGCCAGCTATAAATATAAGTACTACCTGAATGGTAAGGAGAGGTTATGGTTAAATATAAATGGGGCAATGTGGTGATGAGACAGAGACAGGTGACGTTGACCGGAACACCAGTACACAGGATCTGGGATTCATCCTATTAAATAACTTCCAGGGTTTCAGATCAGCTAGATAAGGATGCTAATCCACATTACCCAGGACTAGCCAATCCCAGTGGAGCCAGGGTCACAGTGGCAGGCAGCTCAGCTACTATCACAGAGTCTGAAAGTGAAGCTCCACACCAGTACTAAGGTAATGGAAACACTTACATTTTACTATAATTTTAAATTCCCAATCCCCTCAAATGAAAATATTCCTAAATGACTCAGTGACCACAGATCATGAATACCGCAGCATTGAGCCTCCCTGATTTTTCTTTTTCCTTATGTTATACCAGGCTAGACTTGAGTTCACAGCATTCCTCTGAGCCTCCAGAGTGCTACGATTCTAAGTGTGCACCACCACACTCAGCATCTGCTTCATCTTTCAACATCAAGAGCTCTACTATCCCATTTGCTAATTGGGTATTTTTAAAGAACTGTATGTTTAGGAACCTAATTTTTCCTTTTTTAAAAAATTTTATTTTCTGTGTATGAGTGTATTGTCTGCATGTATGTAAGTGCACCCATGTTGTGCAATGCCAGTGGAGGACAGAAGAGGCTGAAAATGGAGTTATGGACAGTTCTTAGCTGCCATGTGTGTGCTGATTCAAACCCCAGTCTTCTGCAAGAACAGCCAGTGTTCTTAACCACTGAGCCATCTCTCCAGCCCAGGAACCTACATTTCTGTATAATTATATTTACATAAATGTGCCTTTTTTGGGGTAAAAACTTTTCATGTAAGGCTCACAGTAGGCTTACCACTACCCTATGCCTAAACTAGGTAGGGACTGAGTTTGTGAGAGATGAGTTCAGATGAGCATGGGCAGACAGGTGCCACCGAACAGTTTCTAAAGTATTCTCCTTCTAGAAAATACTGTCTTCATTTTTTATTTTGAAAGAACATTAATGCAATGGAACCAGTAGACAATATAAATCTGGCTAAATTTCTATCACTGATAAACTTGTGGAGTTTATTTTTTTCTAAACAGTGAGTCAGACTCTGATTTCTTCCCTCTCCTTTCCTTTAAATGAAGGCTCAGACTGTGAATAAATAGGTGCTTTCTGAAGTTTAGAGGAAGAGCCTAGAAGTTCTAGTACAAGGAGTAAAGGAAGGAAGGGTGAAGGTAAAAGAGAAAAGAAGAGTAGGAAGGCAGGCAGAGAGGGAGAAGGAAAGGCTGGATTCATTTCCCCACCACCCTCAGTGTCTAGGTATAACTAATTATTGTGAACATCAGGCCTTCCCCATTACAGTATTTTGTGAACCCTGGCCAAAGAACTTTTCTCAAATACTATTTTCAATATGTTGCTTACCTACCAATTTCTGCCCATAAAATCCTCTCAGACCCCACCCTAACACCTGCATATCTGAAGACTGTTTCTGTCAGACTACTATGGCCTTTGACTTTTCTTGATTCGCTGACAATCAGAAAGTACTCTAAGTGCTGTGGGCTCCCACTGTGATCTGTTCTTTGGCTTCAAGATCATGACCTTGAGGACCAGGGTTGTGTCCTAGGTTCTCTTGTAACCAACTCCTGGCTCCCACCTTTGTACTTCTAGGACATAATCAAGAATTTAAAGAATTTCTGGTCCAGCCAGGTGTGATGGCTTACACCTTTGGTCCCAGCACTTGGGAGGCATAGACAGGTCCGTGGGTCTGAGGTCAGCCTGGTCTACATAGAGAGTTCCAGGCCAGCCAGGGCTGCATAATCAGACCCTGTATTTTAAAAAAGAAAAAAGGAAAAAAAAGAAATCCTTATCCGTATCTAATAATAGTTATACTTAATATCTTTGTAAAAACAACGTAAAACAAACATCAAATCTTTTCTGTCCACTTATTTTTGCTGTTGAGTTAATAATCAATGATTACAGTTGAAATGTCTCCATTTTCCATAATACTCTCACTTCAGAGTAAGATTATTATGTGAGAATGAAGAAAAACATGAAAACTAGTACAAAAAGGACTTGTCCTAGAACACATAGCAAAAGAAGTGCAATTAAACAGCATCAAAAACAGTGTGTATGTGTCAGACTCTTTTAGGGGTGTGGGGATTAAACCTACGGCCTCGACAGGCAAGCACTCTACCACTGAGTGATCATATCCTGCCCTGTAAGACTTATTTAAAGGTCAAAAAATCATTAACACCCCCCCCCAAAAAAATCACAAAAGCGTTTTTTGAAAGTAAAGTCAAAATGAGACTGGTGGCACAGGCCTGGATCTTAGCTATTCAGGGGGCAAGAGGATCCTGCCTAGGAGTGTAGGTCAGTGGGAGAGGGCTTGCCTAGCATATGTAAAAGGTTAAGTTCAATTCCCAGTACTAAATAAAGATTTGGTAATTGTTCATTTGGAAGTGTTTGAGCATACTTATTTCTATAAAGAGACTGACCCAGCAAATTTTATAGGTTTCCCTCCATTCTACAGTATAAGAGGTACAGGTATATATAATCACTTCAGTCTTAAGATGTAGGACATCTGGTCCCACACAGACACACATAAATGAGCACTCCGAATAATATATCATGAGTCTGGAGAGATGGCTCAATGGTTAAAAGCACGGGTTGTTCTTGCAGAAGACCTGGGTTTGGTTCCCAACAGCCACACGGCAGCCAACAACCATCTGTAACTCCAGTTCCGGGGAATCCAATGCCCTCTTCTGACTTCCATGAGCACTGCATGACACGGGTGCACTTACACACATGTAGGCAATAAAGTCACATAAAAATATAAAAAAATTTTAAAAATACATCATTAGTCACTAATAGGGCTAATATGAAATACTCCATTCTCCCACTTACATGAATTTCCAAATGTTTTTTGGCAATAAAGTAGCAATGAGCTATAGTCTGATGCTTGGGTATACATAAAAACTAACCAGAAGTCACTACAAGTACAATGGAATGTTACCTCTAACTAATGCTACAAGGCACACAGAATCCTCCCAACCACAGGTAATTCAAGACTTCAGCTCTAAACACACAGCAACAGTGCTTGAAAGGTAAAATAATTTTTGTATGAGTCAAATAAATGGAAAATTACCTGCTATGTGGGGTGAATGTTTTCTAGGTTCCTCTTCTTCCTAATTTACCATTCTTCTTTCTGGCTACTGGAACATTCAAGATCTACAGACACTGAACCTCTACCACTTTTAAATATCTAGAATACTGGCGAAAATCAAAGACTGTGTGGCAAGAAAGAGACCAGGAGATGCCTCGAGCCACTGTTGCAACAACACAATTAACTAGTGCTACAACTTTGGAAAGTACAAATATCAATACATGAGGCTCTAGACTGGGCTCCAAATATGAAAAAACAATAAACAAGCTAATGTCAATGCTTAATTGTGCTTTAGTTTTTCCTATATTTTGGTGAACACCCAAAAAAAAAAATGAAATTATTATCTTGCTTAGTAAAAGCTAACTGCCAGGGAATACAGAACTAAATTGACAAGCTAATTATTTCCAAAAGAAAAAAATTCTGATGGTTTAAGATGGTTATTAAATACATCTGCCAAAAGAATGCTCCCCCAAAACAGATTTTAAATAAAAATAATCTGTCAATATAAAAACATCTTTATACTTATAAAAGGGCAAGTTTCAATTATTTCAAATATGGGTTTATGTTGACATGGCTTGTTCTCGGCTAAGTAAGCGCCCCTGTATTACCTAGGAACTATACCAAATGGAGCTCCACACCCTTTGATAGGTACATACCAATGCCACTATCAGATTGGTCTCTGCAGTCTGAGAGGACCAGAGCACACTGTCCAACACAAGCACATATGCAAGGACAGGGTCAAAGCTGCAAGAAAGAAGAGTCTACGAAGGCTTTGACTGCAATAACAGCTATGATAGGATAATTTATCAGGGTATCACTTTCCAAGACAGTCTCAGGTTATTCGAGAAAGAAAACTTAAGGCAGAAGCACTCACAGGTCTCTCTATGAGGTCGATGCAGGGCTGCAGGTCAAGGCCAAAGTCGATGAAGTTCCACTCGATGCCCTCCCGCTGGTACTCCTCCTGCTCCAGGATGAACATGGTGTGGTTGAACAGCTGCTGCAGCTTTTCATTGGTGTAGTTGATGCACAGTTGTTCAAAGGAGTTCAGCTACAGGGGTCATCATGCAAAACCAGGGAGCGAAGACAGGAATAATTAGCCATCTAGTTACCCAAAAAGCTCACTATTTATAGCCGGGCGTGGTGGCACACACCTTTAATCCCAGCACTTGGGAGGCAGAGGCAGGTGAATCTCTGTGAGTTCAGGCCAGCCTGGTCTACATAGCGAGTTCCAGGACAGCTGGGGCTGCAGGGAGACCCTGTCTCAAAAAAACAAAAAACAAACAAAAACTATTTATTAGCCAGGCCTGGTGACACATGCCTTTAATTGCAGCACTTACAAGGCAGAAGCAGGCAGATCTTTGAGTTTGAGGTCAGCCTGGTCTACATAGGGAGTTCTAGGCTAGCCAGGAGTACATAGTGAGACCCTGTCTCAAAAAACAAGAACAAAAACTATTCATTAGGTGTCAATGATACTATTAGGTCTATCTAATGCTAGTTACTACACTAGGGGAGGTTTCTCAGTCTACCCCAATAGCCTTTTTGAAAAGTTAAGAGAGGGCTGGTGAGATGGCTTAGTGGGTAAAGGTACTTACAGCCAGGCCTGATGACCAGAGTTCAATTCCTGGGGCTCATGGTGAAAGGACAGAAGTGATTTCCCCAAGTTTGTTGTCCTCTGACCCGAGTGCTTGAGTGTGTGCGTGTGCGCACACACACACACACACACACACACACACACACACAAAATTAGTTAAGAATAATTTTGTTTTATTTTATTTAAAAAATTTTTAATTATTATTTTTTTGTTTTATGTGTATGAGTGTATTGCCTGCATGTATGTGAGTGTGTGTTGTGCAATGCCACGGAGGTCAAAAGAGGGCTTCAGATTCCCCTGGAACTGGAGGTAAGGACAGTTCATAGCTGCCAGGTGGGTGCTGGGAATTGAACCCGGGTCCTCTGCAAGAGCAGTCAGTGCTCTTAACTTTTGAGCCATCTGTCCAGCCCCAAGAGTAATTAAAAAAAAAAGAAAAAGGTAAATAATGGCTGGCCATACCCCATTACTAAACTGAGAAAAATTCAGTATGCTAACTGAATGAACTACAAATAAAAATCTTGGTTCTTATTAATGAATGAATAAGGACTGGTAATTAAATGAGAAGGAAAGCAAGAAAAAGAAATTAACAATGGAGCCTTGGGAAGGCAAGAGATACAGGGCATCAAGTTCAGTAGTGTGTGAGTGGGGCTGTGAGGAAACTACAGAATACATCTGGTTCCGTCCCACTCTCCTTCACTGAGACAGCAAACGCCAGAGTAACGTAAGAAATGATCACCAAGAACTGCCTTCATTTCACTAGGTTGTTGCTAGAAGCGCAGCCCCAGCGCTTCACAAGGATGAGTCTCCTGGCCGCTTTTTTAGCAGGTGTCTAACCTTCACCAGTATCAAAGATGACAATGTCCTGTTGCCAAAAAGTGAATCTGAACATCCTTCATTTTGAACATTTCTATTACTTTTCTGTGAATGTTGCCCTTTTTTCTACTGTGTTGTTGAGTGGATGAATAGACAGATAAATTAATATGTGTAATTTTCTTAATTTACTCATCCTGTAAGTGCACAACCCTTAATCTATTTTCATGCTGTTCACATGAGTAGCATGTGCCTATAAATCATCTCTTTCGTTATTAAAAGTGACTTTAAATTAGATTCAATTAATCTCCAGGGAATAGATTTATGGCCTTGGAAAAGCCCACAAAGCTGTTGTGCTGTTTAGAATGAAGTCATACTGGGAGGGCACAGTGCTTGCCTTGTGCACTGCTGTATTTCTAAACAGCACTTAGGATAAGCTACATGAATACTTGTCTAGATATGCTGATTCGTGTTCATATAATGGGTTTTGCTTTGCATTAGGGTTATGACATGCTATTTCACTGAACTACATGCAATGGATTTTTAAAATAACGAACTTCTATGAGTCTACTATAAACTACCAACTATATTTTAAAGATTTTTTTTTATTAACGTGCGTGTGTGTATGTGTGTGTGTGTGTGTGTGTGTGTGTGTGTGTGTGTGTGTGTGTGCGTGCGCTAGGTGTGTACAGGTGCCCACAGAGGCCAGAAGAGGTTGTTGGACCCTGTGGAGCTGGATGTATAGGTGATTGTGAGCTGTCTGATGTGGGTGCTGGGAATTGAACTCAGATTACTTGGAAGAACATTAAATGCACTTTACTGCTGAGTCAGCTCTCCAGCCCCCTGACTATACTTTAAAATAATTTTTCTTTCAGTACTGGGGTTTGAACCCAGGGCCTAAACACAGTAAACATGCACTCTGCCATGGAGGTAGATCCCCAGCTCAAGAGAATTGTTTTTATTTATTTATTTTTTATTTTATGTGTATGAATGTATTGCCTGCATGTATGTGAGTACACCCATGTTGTGCAATGCTGCAGAGATCAGAAGAGGGTTTTGGATTCCCCTGGAATGGTTAAGGACAGTTCACAGTCACCATGTGGGTGCTGGGAATCGAACCCTGTTCCTCTGCAAGAGCAGTCAGTGCTCTTAACCGCTGAGCCATCTCTCCATCCCTGAGAACTGATTTTTAAATTACTGATGCATGGTATAAATTTGAAATGTACAAAGAGTTGCACTGAGGTGTCAAGTCCCTAACTTGTTCTCTCTATAGTCAACTAAAATCATTCATTTCATGTAACCCTTCTAAAAATAGTCTAACCACTCATTAACGTGTAATCTTGACCTTTTTTTCTTCTAACAGCATTTCTTGGAGTCGTTATATCAGTATATAAAACTACCTCATTATATTTTTGTATTTTATATTTATTATATTTGCTGTGTGATTATAATAGTTCTAATTTTAAATGATGTAAGTAAGCAGAAAGAAACAGGCTACATAATCTGTTTGGCAGACAGATCAATGTCATCTCAGTCCTGTATTCTAGATGCTTCAGCCTACCTGCCACAAAAGGTACTCTTAAACAGATACAACAATGTCCCAAAGACAGAACTGTTACAGCTTACCAGATCTTATACACAGTCAATGCCCAAATATTTTAGACAGTTCATATGTATGGAAGTCCACTAATTTCAATCGCAATAGCCAATTTCTAATATCCACTATAAAAATCATCTAGGAACAGCTTCCAAAGAACTGACAATAGCTGCTCTGGGAGTGTGGCCTTTCTGATTCTTCAACACCAGCTGAAAGTAAATTCTTGTCAAACAACATACTTTTAAAAGAATAGCAAATAAAAAAGTAAGCTTCATATGGTTAAGAACTTTTGGGTTTAGCTGGGCATGGTGGTACATGCCACTAATCCTAGCACTTGGGAGGCAGAGGCAGCAGATTTCTGTGACTTTGAGGACAGCCTTGTCTACACAGTGAGTTTCAGACCAGCTGGTGCTACAGAAAGACCCTGTCTCAAAAAGACCAACAAAAAAAAAAGAAAAAAGAATTTTTGGGTTTGTTCACTGCTGTGTCTATAATAATGCCTAGCTAATCCCGAGGGGTTCAATGTGTTGAATAACTCCATATGATTTTGCTGAGGTATTTAAGTTATAGGCATTATAAAAGCTATGGTTTAGCCACGAGCATACTTAACAGTAAAAACCATAGGCTGAAACAGAATACTCTGTTTTAAGGAGCTCAAGAGTTTAAAAGAAAATAAGGGATAACATCCAGGTAACAGGGCATGTGAGTTACTGTCCACTACTGTATATTACCTGCTTTCTCTACAACTGTATCAATCTGCCAAACACAGTTTCCTTTATAGGAGTTTCACTTGAAAAATTAAACATATTTCAGCCAATGCCTTATGGGCTATATTTTCTGTACAGCTTCTGTTATTTATAGCCTCTTTGCATTCTAAAAGTACTTTTGTCTTTTCTTTCAACATCCTCTCTTCACTGTTTTAAAATATTTTTTATTTTAATTTTTTTAAATTTTTAATAACTACATGATTAGAAGAAGCATTTCATTACAGCTCATTCAGTAACACACTCCAGAGCAAGAGTATATCTAGGTTTACAGTTGAATTAATACAGTTATACAATATTGAACTCCGTATAAGCCCTGTAAGACATAAAATTGAATGAGTTCTTAACCTTTAAAAAATATCTCCATTTCATTTTAGAATATATTGTTCCTTGCAGAAAGACTCACTGTTTTTGCTACTAACACTGAGATGTTGGCGCATGCATCTCTAATCTGTATGTATCTGATTATTACTAGTCATAATCGGTTGCACTCAGATCCTTGGCACCTGTGTATGTCTATAAAGTCATCGGGTAGATTTCAATGGTAATGTTTATCACCTCTACTAATTAACATGATGTAAATTTCCATGCTTCTTCCTCAAATATACGTTTTTAAAAATTTGTTGATTTTGTGTGTGTGTGTGTGTGTGTGTGTCACACAGAACATCTCAAACCATCTTATTCAACTATACACCCACTTCCCAGATGGCACCCTCCCATAGCCTCCCTCCCCCTACTAGAACCCTTATACTCTGATATCCCTGCTACTATCTGCTGTGTTATCGGCATCCCCAGCCATTCCCTACTACTTGTCCATCTGGTGAATCTAGTTAGCCTATCTCAATGTTTTTGTTTTGGGAAGGTCAGCTGTTCCTCATCTAGCAGCAAACAGTTGTCAATATTCCTTTAGTTAAGATTGGGGTCATTTTCCAAGTTCTATTCTGAGTACTGTCTGGGAGTCTGTTGCGCAACCGTGGCCAATAATTCAAAGGAGGTATCACCTGTCTGGCAATGTTTCTTGTTATGTAGCCTTTAGCTATACGTGTGGACTCTTAAAAATTATATTGACACCATTAATATGGACTCTTATGAAATTATATTGGCCCTTTTAATCTTTGGTTATACTTTCCTTTTGGGTGTTTAAGGCCATACAATTGGTCCAGATAAAACCGATTTATTTTTACTCTTAAGGTTGTTTGAGGATCTGTTCCTCAGAGGTCACATGGACTTGGGAGGAACCCCTGGCTCCTTTCTTTTACCAGTTCCACCTATGTGAAGATAAGTCAAAGGTCCTGCTCGACCATGGCTAGCTTCACTTAGAAGCATGAAGGAAATGATTCCTGTGTTGACCCTACTCTTTGTAGACTGGACACCGGTTCAAGTCCATCTCGTGGGGTCTCCTCAGCCTCCTTGATCAAGAGGACAGGTGACCCACCACAATTATAGGACATTTTGAGAGATGCTCATAGTCCCCTGGAACTAGTCGACCTAGGAGGGCAAGGAGCAAAAGCTGTCCTTTATGTCCCTCTGACCAAATTAGTATAGGCCTCAAAGTACGTCTGTTAAACATCCAAGAAGGTTAGTTCCACCAGTCTGGTACTTTTAATTGCTGTGTAAAATATTTTATTTTTTTTAATTTTATGTGTATGAGTATATTGCCTGCATGTATGTGAGTGCACCTGTGTTGTGCAATGCCGTGGAGGTCAGAAGAGAGCTTCAGATTCTCCTGGAACTGGAGTTATGGATGGTTTGTAGCCATCATGTGGGTGCTGGGAATCAAACCCGGGTCCTCTGCAAGAGCAGTCAGTGCTCTTAACCACTGAGCCATCTCTCCAGCCACCCCCTTCACTTGTAATTTACTTTGAATTTATAAATATTTCATGTTATTATACACCATATTATTTATATCAAATTGACACTTTAAAAGGTTAAAAGACACGACTATAATTTTTAATGAATATATTAAACCTTCAAGTACCAATACTTTTATATATGCTGTCCCTGTTGTCAGATGTTGAAAAAGCTTTTAAATGTGAACCAATGGGTCTAGTTTTTTGTTTTTTGTTTTTTTTTTTTGAGGCAGGGTATCCCTGTAGCCCCAGCTGTCCTGGAACTCACTATGTAGACCAGGCTGGCCTTGAACTCACAGAGATCCACCTGCTTCTGCCTCCCAAGTGCTGGGATTAAAGGTGTGCGCCACCATTAAGAACTCACTATGAATGACTGAGATCACTACCCATTTAATAGTTCTCCAAATGAGTGCTGATAGTGTTTGGACAGTCTAGTCAACAACGCAATCTATTAAAACCCATCATCAAACCCTGGGTTTGTGTCTGCGTAACACAGGCCCTCATCCAGTCTTGTACCCCTCTCACAGGGCTCCTCTCTGACCCCTGAGTCAAGCCACCCTCACTCTGGTCCATTATACTGTTTGCCTCAACATGGCTCTACTTCTACTTTGACCCCAAAATACACTCCACACCTCTGGCTCCCCCCTCCCTTTGAGCAACTATGTCTAGACGCACCATCTTTCTAACAACTTGTAATCTTTGACAAATTCTCTCCCATACAGAATTACTGGACTCTAAGCTGCTGGGAAGACTTTCTGTCTGAGGTGGCAGCTTCTTATCCTTCAAGAATATCTAACTGCACAGTCCTCGCCTAGCAAGCACAAGGCCCTGGGTTACATCCTTAGCAATCCCCTACCCCCGGCCCCCAAAGCATGCTTGTGACCACAGCAGACACCTTCCCTGAACATGCAGTCTGCAGGTGGCTCCCCAGGCTCTATCACAGCACTTTCATTACTACTCACAGATTGTGTGAATTAAGCAGTTATTTGCTATTTATTGTTTAACTCTAACAGAATGTCAAGGACTATACCTGCTTATTTCCTGGTGCCTGGCACTAAAGGCACTAAACCTCACTCATAAATAAACCTTAGCATTTCTTAGGAGAATAAACAAAAAGAAAGAAGAACAAAGGAGAGGGAGACATGGAGGAATACCTCAAAAATTTCAAAGCCAGCAATATCCAGGATTCCAATGAAAGATGCTCCCTGGCGTTTAGTCCTATCCAGAGCCTTATTGATACGGTGAACGAGCCAGCGAAACAGCCGCTCATAGGTAGCTTTTGCCAATGCTTCTACTGCAAAATCTGCCTGCAATTAGATAACATCAACCTTTTATGCTGGGAACAATCTCAACATTAATAGCTATAATATGGAGTTTAATGTTACACAGCACTCGAAAACCTGAAATGGCATCTACTGCCCAATTATATCTAAATGTTACATCTCTATAGAGGTATTATTAGTACAATTAAATGGGAACTGTAGATAATCACTTAAAGAGATGGGTAAACCTCTCCCCCTGGCCTTAGGGCTCTGAACATCTCTCATCAGCCTGGTTACTTAACAGTTTGCCACAGAAAAAAAAAATCACCTTCCAAACTTCTTGGCCAAAGCTACTGATGCCCTTCTTAAAACAGCCCAAAACTAAATGGTAAATATAATCCTTCTGTTCTTGCTGCTGTGTCAACCAGCACAAGGGCAGTGTTGTGGTGGCCTTTGTGCTGATTTTGCTACTAAGTACATAGATTGGTCTATTGGATTATCTATCCACTTGGGGACATTTATTCACGAAAATAACTTTCATGTTTTTTGAAAAAGAAAATGTAAAACAAACAAACAAAAAAACCTCATTTAGTACCAAGATAAATCCATGTGCTTTTATTGACTGAGTTTGTTACATATGAATCAGAAGGTCAAATAACCATATCATTCAAACAAACCTGTAGGACTGGACTTACTTGTTCTTTGGTCTGGGCTTTCTGTACATAGTCTCGGCCAACCTTGATCCGGGGGGTTAGGATAGCCCGAGTGAACTCCATCACATTCATTCCAAGCAGGTGGCAGAGTTTCTGTGCAACTGAAGTGTGAAAAGTCCCCTGAATGCTCCATTTCTATTCCTGATCTAATCACAGCATTCCACAAACACTGGAAAACCCTATAAACTAAACTCTTGAAATGGGACAAAGTTTTAATTCTGGTGAAAAATGTCTTCTATCTTTTCTGATTAATCATACGTTCAACTTTGCACATGGGGATGTTGAATTGCCCTCCTGGCCTTCAAGAAGGGTGATCTCCTTGTCTACTTATGGGTCATTTCAAGATTTTAAAGCCAAACTATACTACATACGTCTTAACCTAAATCTTAAATCATTCTACTACATTGGCTGTGACCATGTGAGAGTTACATAGAGGATGGAGGCTCACCTGCCAATTCAACTTACTGTGACTCAACAGTGTACAAAAGGGTCATAGAGACCAAAACTCCTAATAAAATGGCTCACAGCTTGGTCAAGAAATAATGACCATGACACAGAAAGAGAATAGGTCCCTCAAAAGAGTTACACAGAAATAAACATTAAGGAACCTCAAATGCATTACAAAAAAGGACTATTTCTTCTGTTTGTGTTCATGTGTGTGTGCATGTGTATGCACATGCATGTAGAAGCTGCAGGACAACCTTGGATGTTGTTACTCAGGTGCCATCCACCACATTTTTTGAGGTAGAGATCTCATTGGCCCAGATTTCATCACTGGACCAGGATGACTGGCCAGGGCCCCCAGGGATTTGCTTGTCGTCATCTCTTCTGGGATTATAAGTGCAAGTCACCATGCCTGTCTTTTTATGTGGGTTCTAGGGATTGAATCCTGGTCCTCATGATTGCATAGCAAAGACTTTACCAAATGAATCATCTCCTTAGGATCCCCGAAAAAACTATTTCAAGGGCAGGTGATGTGACTTTATATCAGTGTTCATGGACCATGGTGCACTGTGGATACCCCTAAGAAAGAAGGTGATATATGTGCTCAGGTAATACAGAGATGCCTCATTTTCCTTTCTGTTTACAGAATACTAGAAAAAAAACTGGCAGTTCCCAAGACTTGCAAAACATTTTTTTTGGTGTATAAACTTTTATTCCTGACCATTGTTAATTTAAATTCATGTTCAACATTTAAGAATAGGAAAATTTCCTATTCTTATTAAGAATGGGAAAATCCATACTCTAGATTTTCAATAACTTTGGTGCATATTACGTGCCAGCACTCAGGAGGCCAAGAGAGGAAAATTCAGAGACAGAGGCCAGGCTGGGGTACAGAATAAGACCCTATCTCAGCTTCCCCCAAACTAAAAGAAAGAAACAGAAACAAAACCAGTACTCATCAGTTTACCTGTATTTTCTGGCATGGAGGCTTGGTCAGTATTTCTTTCCTTTTTGAAAGAGATATTTCCAAACTGTAGCACTGATGATACTACTTTAAGCATTGCTTCATACAGGTGAAAAGAAAAAAAAAGAATTTCATCAAAATGCAGCAAAAACATACTATAGTTTATTTGGTGCTAAAAAAATGGCTCCATTTAATTTTTGGTAAGCTATACTTCAGGGTTTCATAAAATTAAAGGAAGTTCTGATTAGCTTCCCAATTACTTTCTGATTTGGGTTATTTATACCAAATTTATAAAAATCCTAACAGTGAGGATTACGAATCTTGTGGAGTAACACGTACAGAGAATCTCTTCATGAGAGAAGCCCATTATGTGCATTGCTTCCATGGTCTCCTGAAAATTATCCTTGTCTTGCTGTCCAGGAATAGGAATATAGCCATTGGAGAGAAATCTGTAGTTACTAAAGCCTTCGAGGAGTAAATCGGCTACAAGGAAATACAATGGAATAAAATTCAGTTAAGTACTCATTAACAGACTAAAGCATACTGCGAACAGACTTCAGAAAACGCACAGGACAGGGATTTGCCCTCTAACACACCAACAGCACATACTTTTCCTTCTTTATATATTTACATAACACTCAAACACAGTTTTCTAGTACTTGTTTCAGTGAAAGAAAATGATGTGAACAAGGAAGCATCCTTACAGGGGCTTAAAATAGTATTTTGTACAATTTTCTATTTGGAATTGAGAAATAAGTAAAACTTCCAGATTTAAATATTTTAGCCATGTTTCAAAGGAAAGCTTTTAAACTTATTCCATACTCTTATCTTAGCAGGTCTATTATTCTAGGGTCTATAGTAACATTATCATGAATACCATGAATACAGTGTCTGGATGTAGATGGTTAGGATACAGTTTGAGAATGTCTGAGTCCTGCACAGGCCCTGAAATGCTTCCTCCAGGCCAGCTTGTAATGCAGGGGATGGAACCGAGGGCCTTGTACATGTTAAGCACACACTATCACAGAGACATCCCCAGCCCTCCAAGCCGGTTTGCTCAGTGGTTTGTTTTTAGAGTGATAAGCAAGAGGTCCTATTATGACAGAGGGCAATAATGGATACCACGCTGCAGGAACCATGAAGCAAGGAGAATTTACTTTTAGCAAGCACAATCAATGATGTGCAAAACTGTTTCTCAATAGCGATCAAAACAGATAGGGCTATTTATCCCAATAACAGATGCATAAACATGTTCCCAGCTTTCCTTGTAACTGCCTCCTTTGCTCTCCTGTAGAGGAATTTCCATGGATCATTCCTATCCCATACCCCTAATTCTTAACTATATCATACTGAACTTCTATTAGGAATTGTCTCTTTTTCCCTCCCTCCTTTTAACACGTTGACAATCTTTTTTGATCCACTCCTATTGCAGGTCATTGCCTGTCTGAAAATGAAAGGCTACAGTCTTCTTATGTATCATCTTTAATTTTGGTCTCTTCTGAACAATGACTCTGTGTGTTGCTTAGTTCTTATAGGTTTCTCTAATGAGTTTCTGAGCTTAAAGCTTTCGTAATCCTCTAGGTAAGAAAAGCTGTATTGTATCAAGTATCTACTGTAAATCTACATAGCATACATCAATCATATAGAAACAACACTGAATTTGGGACTTGAAAGAAATCATAAAGTTGTATACCTCCTCTCTCCTTAATAGTTCTGACTTGGAAAAATTCTCAACCAGCTAAAATTCTACTTTGTGCCCTAACCCTAAGCTTCCAGTCCCTGTGATTCTTGCCAACAAACAAGCAGATAAATACCTGTTGGCTCATTCTAGTACTGGTGCAAACATAACAAATATTTAGTTGTAAATCTAAGAATAAAAGCCTTTATTCTTCTTCATTTTATTAAGTAAATTTATTTTTTCCTATTTTCCATTACAAATGTTGAAGCAGAATCATATAAAAATGTTATCATTTAGCCAGGCATGTTTTTGTACACTCTGGGGGCAGGCAGATCTTTGTGAGTTAGTCACCTGCCATTGAATCCATCATGCCCACACATTACCCCCAGTATGAAGTATATGGTTGAGAAAAAGAAGAGATTAGGAATTATTTGAAGATCTAGAGAAAGATACCAGTTTTCCCCATTGATATAGAATCTCATTTCCCCTGCCCCGGGCATCTAGCATACAGACCTGGAGCCATGCCTCAAGAAGAAGCCACATGGCAAGAAGGGAGGCAGAGACAAGTAGATCTCTGTGAGTTCAAGGCCAGCCTGGTCTATGTAGCAAGTTCCAGGAGCTGGGGTTACAGGGAGACCCTGTCTTTAAGAAAAAAATTATCATTTGTCTTCTAATCTAATTTAAGAACTAAAATGCTAAAAGCCAATAGAGCAACACTCACATACTTAACACTTAAATACTTACCCAGTGGCACATGAGTTCAATTTCATTTTAATTCTCATGGCTTATCCAGGTGGAGGTGTGTGTGCATGCATGTGTGTAAAACTACTGTTTTCCCAAACTCTTCTCTCTCAAAAAGTTCAATTTTAAAAAAGACCCTCACCTGGCTGTGGAAGAATAAGAGCCCCTAACACTTACACTTCAGGTGTTCCCCTGCTCCAGACAGCAGCTGGTAAAAGATATGAAAAGTACGTTCATCTTTTGCTTGACGAACAGCTCGAGACTTTTCCAGAAGGTCTGAGCAGAGAGGGTTAAGGATTTAGTTACTAAAAGGAGGTCCTTCTTTAGCAACTACAAAATTTAAGGTGTAAAATATTTTCTTTCTTGGATATATATCAACTATGCTATAGTGGACCATTCTAAAGGATTGTTATTTCAAATGAGAAAAAAAAATACAGTTTATGATTCTTACTAGTCTTCTACAATCCACTGGACTGGGAGGGACCTTAAAAAAGGATACATGTTTCAATGTTGGCCCCAACAATATAGCCAGTTACATCAAAGTTGATCCGAATAAACTTGCCCTGAAAACAAAAAGAGAAAACTGAAGATAAATAGGGATATAGGGTCCTGAGCACTATAGTAAATGGTAAGACAACGTGCCCTGCCACACAGCCAGGAACGGGTTATAGAAATGGATCGCATGCCTCAAATGCAAAGGAACAACTCCTCAGTACCAAAAAGCAGCAGTAAGACAGGTTACTGTCCTGGACGATAATTTAAAACTAAACACTGTTAAGGAAAGGAGGGGCTGGAGACATGGCCCAGCAGTTAAGAGTGCTTACTGATCTTCCAGAGGACCAGAGTTCAGTTCCCAGCACTCACATTAGCCAGCAAACAATCATGTACAACTTGAGTTTTAGGGTATCTGGTATACACTCACAGAGACACATACATAAAACTTAAGAGGGGAGGGGACAAAAAAGAAAGGAATGAATTCCTAGTCAGTTAGAACTTCAAAACTTTTCTAAATAATCTGAAATAGGAGACATTTTAGTAGCTTTAGAAGAATACTATATCCAGTTAGTTATACACTATATCCAGTTAGTTATACACTGTTAGTTGCAAAACTCTTAATAGAGAGATGATTTCATAGAAAAATAGAAACCCAATAAACAAAATATTTTTAAGAAAAGGGGGGAGGTGTCTGGGGAGATGGTTCAGTGGTTAAGAGCATTGATTGCTCTTGCAGAGGACCTAGGTTCAATTCCAGCACCCACATGGTGGTCCACAACCATCTGTAACTAGAGTTTCAGGGGATCTGATACCTTCTTCTGACCTCCGAGGGCATTGTACAACACACGTACACTTACATGCAGGTAATACACTCATACACATAAAATAAAAATAATATTTTTTAGAAAAATAGAAATCCATTAAAAAGAGTAAATGAGAAATAAAAAACTGAACAGACCATAATTTTAAAAAGTAACAAAAACAAGGGCCGGGCGTGGTGGTGCACACCTTTAATCCCAGCACTTGGAGGCAGAGACAGGTGGATCTCTGAGTTCAAGGCCAGCCTGGTCTACATAGCATGTCTCTAATTTTTTATATCTTCTCATACTGTTTTGAGAAAGACCAGGCTAACTGAGAGATGATGCAAGAGTTACTGTAGCTGCCTTCCAACCAAAGCTATTCTTTGGATATTTTTGGTACTAGGGTTTGAACTTAGGGTCTCGAACATGCTAGGTAAGCACTCCATTAATTGAGCTACATCCCTAACTATTAATTATTCAATCCTTTTAAAGTGTAGTTCAAAATGAATGAAAAACAATGGTCCATTCTTTGGATGATAAAGTGGCAAAATATATCACCACGAAATTAAAAAAAAAATCACTAATTCTCCATATGCATCTTAGATTTAGAAAATAGTGCACAGGTTGGAGAGATGGCTCAGTAGTTAAGAACAATGACTGTTCTTGCAGAAGACCCGGGTTCAAATCCCAGCACCCACAAACTGTCCTTAACTCCAGTTCCAGGGGAATCAGAAGCCCTCTTCTGACGTCCGCAGCACTGCACTTTTTTTTGACATGGGTGCACTCACATACATGCAGGCAATACACTCATACACATAAAAAAAAAATTTAAAAAGAAAATAGTCCAATGAAGCCATATGGTAATTACAAGATAATGCATTGTACTCTGTTTTGTTTTGTTTTGTTTTGTTTTTTTGGTCTTTTTGAGACAGGGTCTCCCAGTAGCTCCAGCTGACCTGGAATTCACTATGTAGACCAGGCTGGCCTCGAACTCACAGAGATCTGCCTGCCTCTGCCTCCCGAGTGCTGGGACTAAAGGTGTGTGCCACCACGCCCGTCTGTTTTAAAAATAAGTTTATTTTGTCTTTGCTTGTGGAAAGACACCCTAAGAAACAATAAAGTTAAACTATGAGTCCATTTGAATAGTTAAACTTTTCAAAAAAGCCTCAAAAACTAAAATTGGGTCCTGATGTTATAAATGAGGGTTAAAATTCTTCATAAATTTTAAACAGCTGTGTCATCTATACACTAGCTTATTGAGTTAATTAAAAACGCTATTTTAAGAGACAGTAGTCAAAAGACAATGTTATTATTCCAAAGCTACAAAGGACACACTGCTAGCAGAACTGCCTAAGCAAATATATTTTCAAACTTCTCATTTTAAAAACTGTAAAAAGGTTAATCAAAATCATCTGGTATCACCTAATTCTTATAAGAAAATGGTTCACTTACAAAATTCATTATATTCAGTAACACAAACTTATAACTTTCACCAACATGCCTAACTTCTTTATTGAAAGAGTGTAACAACATGCTGCTTAACTAAACTAGAACTATCATGATTCAGCTACAGAAGGCTGGGTATATACCCAAAGGAAATGGGGTCAGGTTAGCACAAGAGACACCTTTGTGCCCATGTTTATCATATCAATATTCACAATGGCCAAGACATGGAATCAGCCCCAGTGCCTGTCAGCAGATGAATGGATTTAAAACACACACACACACACACACACACACACACACACACACAAACATATATATACACACATACACAAACATATGTACACGCACACACACACACACACTGCATATGTACACAACAGAGTTTTACTCAAACAGAAAGAATGAAATCATGTCATTTTTCAGGAAAATGATAGATGGCACTAGAAGTCACAAGATGAACAGAAATAGAATTTTAGGGACGAGAAGCCAGGCGTGGTGGTGTATTCCTTTAGTCCCAGCACTCAGGAGGCATAGGCAGGCTCTGCAAGTTCAAGGCCAGCCTGGTCTACATAGTAAGTTCCAGGTCAGCTGGGGCTAGAGGGAGACCCTGTCTCAAAAAGACCAAACAAAAAAAAAATTTAGGGAAGAGGAAATGGGTGACTAGGTGGGGGTGGAGGGAGCAATGAAAGGACAGGAAGCCCTGAAGGGAATGGGAGACACACTCAGGTATGATAGATGCATACATTATATGGAAATGGCACAGTGAAACTCATTAATTGGTACAAAATATGACTTAATTATAAAAAGAAAAATTAAAGCTTTGAACTTACATTATTTCCTATGCCTTTTTCTTTACCACTTCAGATAAACCAGAAGTTAAAATATTCCTCAAACAAAAGAAATTCTTTGTTTGATGATAAGTCAAAGTCATGTAAGTAGCTTTGAACTCTAATACTTTGAAAGATAAACATTATTTTTAAAATTTTTATTATAATTGTATGTTGGGGGGAGTGCATGCCATGGTACACATGTGGAGGTTACAGGACAACCTGTGGATTGGATTCAGTCCTACCTTTCTTTATGTGGGTTCTGGGGATTGAACTCGGGTTTTTTTTGTTTTTTTTTTTTTGTTGTTTTTTGTTTGTTTGTTTGCTTTGAGACAGGGTCTCCCAGTAACCCCAGCTGGCCTTGAACTCACTACGTAGACCAGGCTGACCTTGAACTCCCAGGGATCTGCCTGCCTCTGCCTCCCGAGCGCTGGGATTAAAGGCGTGTGCCACCATGCCCAACTTGTTTTTTTTTTTTAATTATTATTTTTATTTTAAGTGTATTCATGCATTGCCTGCATGTAGGTAAGTGTACCAATCGTGCAATGCCTTCAGAGGACAGAAGAGACTGCTGGAACCCCTGGAACTGGAGTTACGAACAGTTGTTAGCTGCCGCCGTGTGGGTGCTGGAAATGGGTCTTCTGCAAGAGCAGTCAGTGCTCTTAACTGCTGAGCCATCTCTCCAGCCCCTGAACTCGGGTTTTTCAGGCAAGCACTTTTACCTGTTCAGTCATTTCATCCACTGCTAGCTAGTGAACTTATTTATTATCATAGGAGATCATAAAATAGGAAAAGGTATTAGAGTCAAAAGAGAAATGGAAGGAAACTAAAGTTTTGGCTTTCGTTAACAGCTAACTTATGATAGATCCATATATGCATCTATCATACTTAATTGTGTCTCCCATCCTCTTCAGGGTTTCTTGTCCTCCCTTAACTAACAGCTAACTTAGGAAACATTCCAAAATAATTTAGATATATGGTTATCTACTTGGATAAATACAGGAAGTTTCCTGCATGCAATACTCCAACTTCCTCATCAGTTCCCTAGTTCAACTTCCTTTCACTAACTGGGTCCATTTACTCTAGTCATTACAGTGAGAGCCAAAGAAAGATCCTTGGAGTTTAAAAAAAAAAAAAAAAAAAAAAGAACTAGGCAAAGAGTCACAGAAGTAGGGACTTCAGTGAGGCAAAGCTATAGGAGGGAAAGGACCTGAGGCGTCTCCTCCCTTATCTCTTCTCTACATCACCCCCCAAAGAAACTAACATTTCAGAAAATAACATATATACTAACTAATAAATGCTGATTATAAGTCAAAGTTGTAGACTGATTCTATCTTGAGAATACAGAACAAAAATTTTATAAAGCTGAAAAACTATCAATTCTCTAAGCTAAATGACATTTGTGCTCAGGTATTTTACCAAATGGAGCCAAGTAATCTGACAATATGATAAAGTAAAATTTCAAAACTAAACAGAAATATTTTACTGATTATCCACAAAGAATCTAAGACTTAAATGTTCCCCTTAATGTGACTGTTCTGGCTAATTACGTGAAAAGGAGGTGAGGTAGTCAAGCACCTGGGTTGATGAACAAAGTTGACTTTTCCCCCTTAGGGGTAGAGAGGGGGAACAGGATCTGCAAGTTAAAAAGCTGCCAGCTGTGGCTACAAGAAGACCCTGTCTCAAAAGGACAAAAAAGAAAAAGCAAGCTTTCTCCTCACATATATACTGAATACTGAATACTGAATCTAAATTAGCATATCCATTGAAGCACAAATCTAGACTCAACTTATTTGGGGGGGGGGGTCTTCTATCTTTTAAATATGTGAAGAAACTTGTGCTAAAAATACCCACTCCATATTTGATTTCCAGGAAATTTAGATTCTAGGGTACTCAGAACAGTCAACCACAATCTCACCAATAAAAACCCGGGGTGGGGAGGGGAATCCAAACTTGATGAGTATACTGTATGTTAATAAGTTATACTTTGTGTTG